ACTTCCAGGGGACCTGACATCCTCACACAGACATACACACAGGCAAGACGACAATGCACATAAAAATAAATCTTAAAAACCAAACCACACAGCTGTGTGTGTGTGCGTGTGTGTGTGCTTTGGCTGCATATTGTGTACCATGTGAGTAGTGTACAGAGGCCAGAAGTTGAATCCCCTGGGATTGGAGCTACAGATGGTTGTGAGCTGCCATGTGGATTCAGAAAGTTGAACCTTGGTCCTCTGGAAGAGTAGCCAATCTTAACGACCTAAGCAACTTTTCACCCTTACTTGTAAATCTTTTGGAACTGTGTGGACATAAGCATTGACAACATGGCAATCACAAATGCACATTCTCAGAAAAGGGGAGTGGATAGCCAAGAGAAAAGGGAAGACTGGGGCCCAAATCCAGCTTTGCCTACTAAACTTTGACATTTCCTATATTACTCAGCTTTGCAGGTATCAAAAATATAGAGCTGGGGGTACGGCTCAGTAAAGTGCTTGCTGTACAACCCTGAGTTTGGATCTCCATTAGCTACATAAAAAAGGCAGGCTATACAGTGGGATTATCAGTTCAAGGAGGCAGAGACAAAAAAGATCCCAGAGGCTTGATTGTCCCTCATTATAGCTGACTTGGTAAGCTGCAGGTTCAGGGGAAAGAAAGTGATTCAGGAAGATAACCAGCATAGATCTCTGGCCTCCACAAACATATAAAGATTTTCACCATTTCAAGTTCCCTCTGTTTTTTGCTTATAGTCTGAGATGTGAGCCCTCATTTTCTTGTTTCTGAGGTACTGCTTACTGCTAAAATCCCCTACTAAAATAGATTCTGTATCTCTCTGGAATGATAACTCTTTCTTGTGTTAGTTACCTTGGACATGGTATTTTATCACAGCAACAGAAACATATAGGAAACAATTTTTATATGGCCTTTTCAGTTATCCATGTTCTCTCTCCTCACCATCTGTTATTCCTTTTCCCTTTCACAGCCCCCCTCTCTTTTTTAAGTAGGACCAAGTGTGTGTGTGTAGAAGTGGCTTGGGAAGGAAGAAAAGGGAGATGTGGGGACTTACCAACCGAGCCTGAGGGGGGAAAAATCACATTTACATGATCATTTTGTTTACACACACACACACACACACACACACACACACACACACACACACACA